GAAGTTAGAAGTTCAAACGAACCATGAAAAGTCCAATTCTCAGTACCATTATTAAGAAGTTTAAAGTGCTACATTTCTTTTTATGTAATTTCAAACTAAATTGGAGTTTTCCTAGTCCTGCAAATAATCCTTTTAAGCCTAAAGATAAAAAAAAAATGTTTTGACAATCCAAGATTTCCATTTTACACGTGAACCTGCAGTACATCTTACCTTTGATGTGCTCTTCTGAAATCTTGGCACGGAGTTGTTCAAGATCTAGACAATGTTTCTTTTTTAATTCCTCAATTTCTGAGATATATCTGTCTGACAGATCCATCTTCATCTTCATTAGGTCCTCCTTATATTGCAGTGCAAGGGAAGATCTTAAGGAGTCTATCTCACACCTGTGTTTCTCCTCCAATTGCAGTCGCAAACAAGTAAGTTCTTCCTGCAGAAAACATACTTTCAGAACAGGTACCTTTATCTTTCAGACAAACAGACTAAAGAATTAATTTGACAGTAAGTGCTGTGATGGGGTGAGGCCAGACCCACTACAGTTGAATGGTGGAAGACAGGTAACACTAGCCCCAGGATAAGTAGATCCCTTTTCCCTTGGTAACTGAACAGGGGTTACTCCAGGTTAATTAGGACCCCCGGGGCCAATCAAGGGTCTTCCAGAACCAGTTAAAAGTCTCCTCACCAACTACACAGGTGCGTGATGGGAGCTGTGTGAGGAAGGCAAGCTACTGCACAACTGGGCAGTGCAAATACCGGCAAGCACTAGGAGCAAAACCACATAGGAAGAGGCAACTGGTGGAGGAAATCCTGCCCAATGACATGGATGGCCCTTCTGGGTCCTAAAAGCGTAAGGGAAGACCCCCCTTCCCACCAGATAGGAGACTGAACCAGGGTCTGGTTTGTTGCCACCACATCTAGCTGTGTCTACACTGTGGCAGGTTACAACACAGTAAATTAGCTCCCAAAGTATCTACTTAGCGTGCACAAACTCTGCAGTTGCTCCACGACCTCAAATGAAATGTAGAGCTTTCTGTGCAGTGGCTACAGAGCTGCAGTGCCAGTGTGGATGCCCTACTGTATTATAGCACTGACTGGCCTTAAGTATCTGTCCCACGATGCAGATTCTCTTCACTCTGGTCAATAGTTTAAACTCTACAATACTCAGACCGATCCTTTACATTTCTTGGGAATTTGCAAGTCCCCTTCCTGTTTTCTAAGCAACACATGCAGTGTTCTCAGCGCATCTTTCAAGGTGAATATGCCTGCTCCACATATCAGGCAATCCCCTATTATAAGCAATGCCGAGGTGCTGAACCGCTGAGACACCCCCCACCCCCAGTGCTTTGCATAGATGGAGAAAGGTGGCATTAGCTTTGTACCCCAGGTAGATGGAATCTGAGCCTTATTTTCCATTGGAAAAGTCCAGCAGATTGGAATGGGGCAAGATTTCATACAGAGTGGTTAATGATTTGCATCCTAATTACTGAGTAATTCAAGGGCAGAATTGGGGCTAGATTAGAGGTAGCTTGAAATTCAGGGTATGTCTATTTTTACTGGAAGATTGACACTCTGGCAGTTTAATTTAGCGGGTCTAGTATACACCCGTAAATCGAATGCTAAAGGCAGTTCCTGCCAGTGTTCAGCGCTCCTCTCTTTGTGAGGAGTAAGGGAAGCTGATGGGAGGCTTTTGCTCCTGTCAGCCTCCCTCAGTGTGGACGCCACCACGGCTCATCTTAAGGTAAGATTACTCCAAGTATGCATTTTGCGTAGCTGCAGTTGTGTACCTTAAGCCTTCCTTCCAGGTTCAGTGTAGATCTGCCCTCAGTCCACTAACAGCTTAGCCCTGCCATATTATCTGTGGGCAGAAGAACCCACATTTCACTTTAGCTGGGTTGTGAGCAGCTGTAAGGATCCACCCATGTGGATCTCTAAGGTGCTACAGGACCATTGTTGTTTTTAAAATTTTGTTAGTTACAGATTAACATGGCTACCTCTCTGAGACTTTCAAAATGGTTATAGTATTACATTCACAACACAACTTTCAATGGCTTTTTAGTCTCAGATATAACTAGAACTAGTACCTATATACATTTTTATATTACCAGATTATTTAATTTACAAAGTACAGCAATGAAGGGAGAACATTAAATCCTTTCTTTTACGAAATTGCAAATATTCCATGGAGTTGCTTCATAGTATCCTACTACAGTTTTCACTTTGTCTATACAGGGCTTTATAGTGTGGCTACTTTACAAAGATACAAGGAATTTAGCGTCTACACTATAGATACAGGCACACATACATTGTCTCATAGATACCGCAAGAGGAAAGTCCAAATCCTGCTTTCACATTAACAAGTACAACTCTCACTGAATTCAGTGTGCTGTGTGCAAGTATCTAAAGTCAATTTGGCTCAATGACTTTAAAGACTTACCAGAAATTATTTCTGATGCAGTAATATTTATAGTATAGATTCTTTAACTATGTAAAGAAATTTCAATGAGGTTCAAGAATAAGGCTCCCTTGGGTCATTAATGGTGCAGGCCAGTGTTTTTCAATTTCAGGCCTGTGGACCCATGTCGTCCACAGACTATGTCCATGAGGGTCTGTAAAAGGTCATTGTTGCCATAGAACAGTGATTTTTCAACTGTGATCTGTGGACAACATGGGGGTCCACAGAGTACATCTAAGATTTCCAAAGGGGTCTGACCTACATTTCAAATTTTTAGAGGTTAACAACAACTCTCTGACTATGGTTATCCAGCCAATTATGCACCCATCTTATTGTGGCCCTATCTAAGTTATATTTGCCTAGTTTATCAATAAGAATATCATGCGAGACCGTATCAAATGCCTTACTAAAGTCTAGGTATATGACATCCACCGCTTCTCCCTTATCCACAAGGCTCGTTATCCTATCAAAGAAAGCTATCAGATTAGTTTGGCATGACTTGTTCTTCACAAACCCATGCTGGATATTCCCTATCACTTTATTACCTTCCAAGTGTTTGCATATGATTTCCTTAATTACCTGCTCCATTATCTTCCCTTATGATATCTATGAGCCAAGATCAAGATGCAAGACCAAAGGGAGAAATGATGGGAATGCACTGCAGTGCTGGGTCAAAATGAAGGAAATGCAGAAAGGGAAGGAAATCTGCCGCTGTGATGCTGCGCCCATGGCCTGCTAGTTCTACAAAGAGCTGGGCGTGATAATTAGTGGCCACCCAACCTCCACAGCAAAGGTCCCCATGGACACTTCTGGGGCTGTGCCAGCTGACAGTAGGCCAAAACAGAAAGAGGACACCATGAATGAGGGTGCTGAGAGGTGGGGGTACCCAAAGCCAAAGCAAGATTTGGTATTGACAAGTACATGCCATCAGGAGCTTTTGTCTACCCCCGAGAGGCTAGAGAATCACAGCAGTCAGAGCTTGGGGAAGTGCCAACAGCAAGGGTGGTCCCTGATAAGTAGCTTTGATTTTGGGACTTACTAAAGCAATTGGAGGCAGGATGGTTGCAGAAAGCATGTTTGGGACTGTGTGGTGCTCATAGCAACACATGCCTGGTTCAAGATGCATAACAGACTGTTGATGGTCTCTCTGACTTGACAATAATCTGCCTCAGAGATCACCACAAAAGTCTCACGGAGATACAGAGAAGCTGCCGTGCAGATTGCGCAGTAAGAGCTGCTTTGTTCTTTGCCCCATTAAGGATAACATTCCCACATCGTGATGCCCTCGGGGAGGGGAGGAGCAGTAGGGTGAAGGTGGAGAACCATTGCTGCACACGGACAACCTACGTAAGGGCCAGAGCAGATGCCCAAGTACGGCAGAAGACCATTCCTTGCTTCCCTAGTCATTCTTTGTACCTGTTCAGCACGTCGTTGAACCAATCCCTGCTGCTACCAGGAAAGGGGAATCTCCAAGGATTACAATAGGCATTTTGACTTTTCCTACAGTGATCTTCTGGTTCAAAAAGAAAGTCCTCACACTTCTGGTTTCCTTAACAGACCCATGTTTGGAAAGATCCACGTGTCATACACCTGTCTGGATCAGCCTATATTCATGTCCATGCAATGCTCACAGCGATTCACTAGCACCTAGAGAACCATGGAGAAATACCCCTTCTGATTAATGCTTTTAGAGACTAGATGGTCTGGTGCCATACTTGGAATATGCATGCCATCTATCATGCCTCCTCAGTTAGGGAAGCCCATTTGTGCAAAATCAGCCACAATGTCACATGTCGCCCAGAATCTTTTTGGAGGATGATGTGATTAATAGCCTCCTCTACACTTCCATCAACATGAGTCCATCAGTCCACCATCCCCATTCCCAGATCCACTGATGACCTAATAGTAATGGTCTGCAGTAGCCAGCTTGCGCAGTGGAATCTGCACATTTGTCCATGGGCAGGATAGCTCTCACCCTCATGTCCTTGTGCTGAAGAGTGAAAGCTCATGCAAAGTGGCTTTCTACATCAGAAAGTTCTGGGGCCACTGCCTATCATCATCCCAGACTTGCATGACTCCGTGAATACCACAAGCAATCTTGTGTCGCAGCTACTACATATGGCAAGATGCACATCGGACTTGGTCTTTCACTTTGTGGTTTAAGGAATAACTCAACTGCTATTCATAGAATCATAGCCGACTACAACTGGAAACAATGACCTGTCAAGCTCCTTTCCAGTTCTAACAACAAATAGTCTAGTAGCATTATAAAGACTAACAAAACACGTAGATGGTATCATGAGCTTTCGTGGGCACAGTCCACTTCTTGAGATGAAAGCTCATGATACCATCTACGTGTTTTGTTAGTCTTTATAATGCTACTAGACTATTTGTTGTTAGAACTGGAAAGGAGCTTGACAGGTCATTGAGTCCAGTCCCCCGCTCTCCCGGCAGAACCAACACCATCAAATGATCCCAGACACCCTGACAGGGAGCTTTTCTTAATGTCCAACCTACACCTCCCTCAACGAAATTTAAGCCCATTACCTCTTGTCCTATCCTCAGAGGTTAAGGAGAATATTTTTTTCTCTCTCTCTCCTTTTAACACCCTTTTAGGATGCTGTTATGTCCCCTCTCAGTTTTTTCTTTTTCCAAACGAAACAACCCGAATTCTTTTAGTCTTTAGTCTTTCCTCCTAGGTCATGTTTTCTAGACCTTTAATCATTTTTATTTCTCTTCTTTGGATCTTAACCTATTTATCCACATCTTTCCTGAAATGCAGTACCCAGAACTGGACACAATACTCCAGTAGAGGTCTAATCAATGCAGAGTAAAAATGAAGAATTACTTCTCGTGTATTGCTCACAATACTCCTATTAATGCATCCCAAAATCATGTTTGCTTTTTTTGTAACAGCGCCATATGATTAACTCATATTTACCTTGTGATCCACTACGATCCCTAGAACCCTTTCTGCAGTACTCCTTCCTAGAAAGTTCCTCCTTATTCTGTATGTGTGAAACTGATTGTTCCTCCAAACGATGTCTCCAGTTTGTCCAGATTATTTTAAATTACAGTCCTATCCTCCAAAGTACTTGCAACCTCTTCCAGCTTGGTATCATCCACAAACTATACAAGCTTACTCTGTGCCATTTTCTAAATCACTTATGAAGATACTGAATCGGTCCCAAAACTGATCGGAGCGGAATCCCACTTGTTATATGCCCTTCCAGCATGACTCAATTGTTGATAACTACTCTATCAGAACAGTTATCCAACTAGTTATGAACCCATCTTATAAAACCCATTTAGGTTCTATTTTCCTAGTTTAATGATAATAAGATCATGCAAGACTGTTAAATACCTTACTAAATTCCACATCCACGGCTTCCCCTTTACTCACAAGACTTATTTTCTTATCAAAGAAAGCTATCACCTTCATTTGAATAAGATTTGTTCTTGACAAATCTATATTATCACCTTATATTCCAGATGTTTGCAGATTAATGCCTTAATTATTTGCTTATTTTTCCTTGCATAGAAGTTAAGCTGATTGGTCTGCAGTTTTCTCTGTTATTTGCTTTCTTATAGATTGGCATTGTATTTGCCCTTTTCCAGTCTTCTGCAATCTCTCCTTCTTGATGCTAGTGAGCTCTATTAGCATTTTCTTAAACAGTGTGGGATCCGTTCCTACAGACTGATGAGGCAGAGTACTAGAGTAGATATACTCTATGAGGCTCCCCCTTTTCCTCCACCTCATCAAGAAGGCTGGGAGGAACCCTGCTCAGGCAAGGTGTGGACAGCAAGCCCAGGGGTATGAGGAAATTCTGATGGAGAGAAGAATACACTGGCCCACTGAACGGAGGCGGAGAAGCTCCGTAGGAGCGCACAAGCACATTGTAAACATACAAGTTTATTTACCAGTCTGTCTCCTCAGAACATTCTTATTTTTAAACACCCATGTATCTCCTCTACTCCAGGACAAGAGGGAGCCCCAGAAGTCCTAACTATGCATGTAGAGCCATGCTGCCACAAGGTCAAAGTAGAGCTCCAGCAAATGCCAGAGGATGTAGAAGAGTAGGAAATGCCTGCCCGCACGTAGGGAGCTTATCAAGTGTCTTGACAATAATAGAGATGAAAGCGAGTGCTTACACTATCATTTGTATTACCACAGCACCTAAAAGCACTATTCTTGGACCAAGACTCCACTGTAGCACTGAGTCAGGAGTCACACAGGGAAAAGGACTTCCCAAGCTCTCTGGAAACTTTTAATTCATTTCCAAAGCAGCATGTGAACACAGAAGCCAGGATAATGCATCAAAATCACCCTTTGCTCACTTATTTTTGTCAACTTGTACAGTTCTGTTTAAGACCATACCTTACAGCGTACTTGGTAAAAAGAACAAAACAATAGTCACACAAGACGAGCTAATAGCACCTGATATTAAAGACATGCTAAGAGGTGTGAAGCAACTGTCATGTTTTTGTACAGATTTTAAAATGCACACTATTTCTGTTAAAATTGATGCTTTACCTTGTGCTGCTCCAGTTGCTGAGTTAGTTGGTCAAGTATATCCCTTCTCTCCTTTTCACTTGCCTCTTCTAACAGTGTGACCGAGGAGCTGGAGAGAGAAAAGGGGTTTAGCAAATTAACATGATCATTTCACCTTATAAAATACAGAATTAGAAAAATTTATTCATTTTTAAAATATTGGAATACAAGTATTTACAGACCAGCATCTAGTCAAGTACTCCTGAATCACCATCTCAACAAAAAACTGTATGCATCCAAGAAACCCTCTGCATCCATTACTAACTTACACCTTGGATTTTCTGACCTCCCACCACCAATCCAAATATATGCACAAAGCCTACAGTCTTTACTAGGAAAGGAAAGTTACGCATGTTTTGAGAATGAAGACAAGAACAGTCCTCACCTAATATCTAAAGGCTGATCTTGACTTATCTCTGACTCCAACAATGAGTATTCCTTTAATTCTTGCAGCCTCTGATGCAGCAGAGTTAGTTCTTCTCTGTAGTTTTCTTCAGCTGCCCCTAATTTTTCTTCAAAATAAATTCTCAGCTGTTCCAATTCGGATTCATGTTCAATTCTTCTTTGCTGCCGCTGCTGTTCAAAATCTTGCTTTAACCGTTCTATTTCATCCACATGGGATGTGCGAGCCAGAAGCTGTTCTTTTAACTCTGGGTATAATGTGAGAAAAAAACAGTATCTTTAAAACCTTGGTTTTAGTCAAGAACAAAATAAACCACATACACACTTTGGACTAAATCATAAGCCATATGAGGATGAACAATATTTTGGTTGGGAAGAAAAGCATAGAACAGACAGCATGAGGAGGAGTTGTGCCTTCAAAGATGTAATGCCAATCTCAACATTTCTTGGGAGGGCTGGCAGCATAGGTCATACTGCACAATAAACTGAGTGAAAATTAAGTAGTGGGAGAACAAAGAAAATATAGCCATATCCCCATTTACACCAGACTTATGCTTTGTCTGCTCCTAAAAAGTAAGACTGATCTATCATCATCATTCAGGATTGAAAAAAATATTGTGCCATGCATGACAGAGGTACAAAAAAACACCAGGAACCTATTTTTTATGTCCATGTGCAGAATGAATGATGTTATATACAGTTGGGATTCGTCCTGCCTTGGGCAGGGGGCTGGGCTTGATGACCTCCTGAGGTCTCTTCCAACCCTATGATTCTCTATCTACCATAATCAAATTCATTCTGCACATGGACAGTGTGTACTGGGGTGGGGCTGAGGGGTTCAGATTGTGGGAGGGGCTCAGGGTTGGGGCAAAGGGAGTGCAGGTTCTTGTGTGCACTGGGGGCAGAGATTCAGATCTGGAGCAGTGGCTTAAGGGGCAGTGAAGGCTATGGGGGTGGGAAAGGAGTGCAGACTCTGGAGAGGGGCTGTGAATGAGGGGTTTGGGATACAGGCTTCCCCTGGGAGAGAGGACTCCCTCCAGTTCCCTCTCGCTGAAGCAGCTCAGGGCCAGGTGAGAGGAACCTCAACAAGATGCTCCAGTGTGGCCAGGTCAGCAAAGCAGTGCCTGTCCCCTGGCTGCAGGAAGTCTGGGACAGGTGTGTGCCAAGGACAGCTGGGAAGGGCACTCCTCCCCACTGTGGCAGCCCCATGACAAGGCTTGGTCTGGAACAGGGCACCTCTCCCACAGCCACAGCGACCCCAGTATGGACCCAACGAGGAGCTGCACCTCTCCCCACTGCAATAGATCCAGGGCTTGGGAAGAAGTATCTCACCCCCACACGGCCCTAAGCCCCTGCGCAGGACTTAGCAGGCAGTTGCGTGGCCATGCAGCGTAGCGGGAACTTCCCCAACTACAGATGCAGCTACATCAACAGAACCATCTTCCACTGACCCACGTTCTACCTCTCGAAGGAGTGGATTACCTACATTGACAGGAACCCTTTTCTGGCTACACCACATGACTGCTGTGCACTGCAACGCTGTACTGCAGACTGTCATGGGGCATGGGGCAGTCACCAGGCCCTGCACCCCCATCTGCAGTCAGATGAGACTCTCAGCCAGCAGGTAGAACAGAAGGTTTACTGGTTCACGGGGACATAGCGTAGCCTAGATGTGTTGTTACAGGAACCAAGAGCATTCAGTACAAGCCATCGTGGGGAAGCGGGCTCCCTTCCCCCCAGCCAGCTGCTCACACACCTAGCAACTGCTCACAGTCCTCCAGGCTGCCAAGCCCCCTCCTTTGTTCAGATTCCAGGACCAAGTGTAACCTGACTGAATCTTCCGCCAGCCTGAGCCAGGTCCTAGGTGTCTGCCCTCAGGAGCTCTCCCCCAGGGATCCCATCCCCCACTGGGCACTGCACATCCCCAACACAGAGTCACTGCAGAGCAGCACAGGACAATAGTAATCACACACAGCACAACACAGGAAACAGTGAATGCAACAACCGAGTGAACACCACAGCTACAAGAGTGCATGCAGCCCCCACTACGTCACTCAGACATACCCCCAGGTTTGGGCAGTTTTTACTACCTGTTTTGACAACTGTCAAAACCAGGGATGGGCAAGATGTGACTCAGGGGCCGGATGCAACCCGCCTAACACTTATCTGGCCCATGGACTGCATCTAGCCTCTTTCTATTTATATCCTGCTGCCTGTGCCACCGAATTTCCAGACGGTGGCTCAAGCAGCAGGATCCTATGTAAATGGCTCCCAGCTCACACTCATGAGGCTACCTCAGCAGGAGCCGGAGCCATAAGCCCTTTAAATAGCCGCAGCAATGTTGGGCTGCTACCAAGCAATGTGGCCGCAGCTGGCTGGAGCTGTGAATCCTTTGCTGTGTTTGTAATTGGATGCCTCTGGCCCTAGACAGCTCTGAGGGGAGGCTAGCCCCACCCCGCCCCTTCTGCCTCATGATCAGCCCATTCTGGGGATGGAGCTGGCCCATGACCACATACCAAAATGAATGAAGTGTCCCCCTTGTGAAAATTATTGCCCAAACCTGTGCGAAACACTGCAGGTTCTCTGGTTACTAATGCAACAGACAGATGGCAGTGAGAGCAGCAGTGATGGCAGTTTCTGTAACTTCAACTATGGAACAGATATCATCACATCATAATTTGATACAGTAAAACTGTAGGACATCTTGGCCTTCATACTTGAACAAGTTATGAAGCCCAGGAAAAGGACTGAAACTTTCCCCATAGGCGTGGTATTGCATACCTGAGGGTTCTAAACTGGATTCTGAATCATCTAGTACTGGCCTGATACTCAACTAAATGGACCATTTATCCAAATTGGTATGACAACTCCTGCTGCATGCATTTGTGACAAATGCCTATATATTTGGTTAAATATTGCTTCAGACAGTATGTGTCATTGTAAGACAAGGCAAAAAACATGTGTTTCAACCATACCACTTAGCTCCTGTCGACTTGCTCGTGTACTATCAAGCTGAGACCAAAGCTGTTTGACTTCTTCTTGTGATCGGGTTTTGAATTCTTCATATGTGTCCTGAAGTTTCTCCATCTACAGAAGATGAATTAAGAATTTCTGTTGGTTTGTCTTAATAGCTGTCTATTTGGAAATCTTAAAAACAGCCAAGTTGCTAACAGGTCAAAGTGCTACAGTACCATCCTGACTCTGGGCTCACGGTGGACCCTGGGACAAGAGGGGGCAAGGGAGGCAGCCCTACGCCCCTGGGAAGGGGCGGGCTCAGGTCAGCCAGTCCTCACTACCACACAGCCATCAGAGCAGTGCGGAAATTGTTGAACAGTGCTCCAACAGCAATACAGAAGGCCCAGCGCTCCAGCCATTGCCACAGTGCTCCAGCCACTGCCACCAGCTTCTTCTGTGCAGGCTTGCTTTCCACCCCCATCAGCAAGCCTGCACAGAAGAAGCTGGTGGAGACAATGAAACACCTAACTCCTCTATAAGCAACCCTCTAATTGAGGTAAGTGAGGGAGCCATCTGCTTGTCATGAATGCAGAGAACAAAACTGAGAAAAATGTAAGGAATCGGTAACTGAAATTAAAGGAAATAAGAACTAAGGTAAGAATTTGATTAAATTGCGGTAAAGGCCACATCAATAGAGCTAGTAATGTGTTAAAGTCAAATCCAGCTAAAAATTATGAATGTCAATCTAATATTGATTTGTGATCCATGTTCTTAGGTTTGATATAAAAAACCACCACCAAAACACCTGCAATGTTTCCCTTTTCAAAAAAAAATAAAAAATAAATCTAGATTTTAAATACAGAAGAGTACATTATTAAACAACATTTGTGGCTCCTAAATACTATGTTGCTTCCCTACTTCACACAAAATTCTCAAAAGAAAAAAAATCTTAACCTCCTTCTGCATCTCCTGTTCTCTTTCCTTGCTTTTCATTTTCAAGTTTTCTAGACATTGCTCATATTCCATCTGCAGCTGTTCACGTAGTTTTGTAATTGCCATCTTGTGTTCATTCTCCAAGACGTTACATTTCACTACAAAAAAAAGTTAACCGTGTTTACTCCTGGGGGGATTCCGAATCAAAAAATTCAAAAAAATTCAGCATTCTTTATTTGTCAAGAAGTATGTAATATAATCACACCTGTTACAATTGTTTTAGTAATTATTTAAACTACAATGGGGGGGAGAATCACAATAACTATTCAGCATTTCCTGAATATATGAAAGTTAAGTTATAAACATCTGGCAACTAGTACTCTGCATTCAGTTAAAATTCTGTAATTTTAAATAAAATTACATTACTGAACGCTAAGCAGGGGGTGAGGGAGTAGAATGTCATTTTAAATTGCTCACACTTTCACACATTGAAGTTATAATTTTGCTAATCATTGTCCTGGACCCTTGCTGGCAGGGCCATCCCAAAGAGAGTGCACGGTCTCAGGCAACCCCCTGTCCAGTGCTCCAGACACAGAACTGGTGGCAGGCCCCAGTCCACTCTCATTCAACCCCTTCCCCAACCTCTGCCCTGCTCCTTTATCCCCTCCCAAGTAACATGGCCCAAGGGATTACAGGAGCATGACATGGCGGCAGCAGGGTTCATCTCCCCACATGGGCAGCGGGAGCCAGATCAGCCCGGCAGCCTGTTCTGCCATACCACCCTATTGGCCTGCTGCACCCCATTTCTCTGCGGTGACAGGAACTAGAACACCCTGGGGTCAGAGCACTCTGCCTCCTACCACTGCTGAGAAGTGGAGCACAGCAGGCCAAGAGAGGGCAGTGGGGCAGAGCAGGCTACCAAGTTGCTCTGGCTCCCACTGCCTCAATGGTGAGCAGAGGTAGGGGACAGGTGAAACCTGATGCCACTGTGTTGAGCCCCATAATTCTTTGGAACCCTTCTGTCCCTAGGAAATTGCTGCGGCCACCATGGGACCCCCAAAAGCACAAGGCACTGCAAGGCACTACTTTGGGAACTGCTTGGTATACATTGTCCAGTCATTTTATTGACTGCTTGGTAAATGTGTTATTTCCCTCAAAAACTTTTTTTAAACGGATAAAAGTAAGATAAATCCTGAGCTGTAATCTAACCCTATTAACTGAAAAAGCACACAGGTCTTCCTACCTGAGGATTTCCTGTCATTTATAAGCTAACCCTATTAACTGAAAAAGCACACATGTCTTCCCATCTGAGGATTTCCTGTCATTTATAATAAGACTCCTTTATATTACTCCTACATAGCAAGGGCCTTAACATTTTCACAGGTTTTATGCTCTTGGCAGGACTGACTGAAAATGGGAGCACTTAACTATTACTTAAACTTAAAACAAAGAATAGTCTTGTAAAACATGTAGATGGTATCATGAGCTTTCGTGGGCAAAACCCACATCTTCAGAGTGGGTTTTCCCACAAAACCTCATGATACCATCTACATGTTTTGTTAGTCTTTAAGGTGCTACTAGACTATTTGTTGTTTAAGTGTTTCCAGTTACAGACTAACTCAGCTAACCCTCTGAAGCTTTTTATTACTACATATGCTGGCTGTTACATTTCTGCCTTAGACAATGAATTCCATTAACTCCTCGCTGGTACACTTCTGCCGGTAGCCTGCCTCTCACATAGTATATTCAGCCCCTCCACTCCCTTATCTCTGAGGCTGCTCCAAGCATGCTTGAACAGACGCTGCTTGGTCTACAGGGGAAGAAGTACTTGTCCCCAAGCAGATTATTTCTGTGTTTCTGCGCAGGGGAGCAAAGAAAAGTGCGAGTCATATGAATTCTGCCAGGGGTATCTGTTACATTACTAGGTTAGCCTTTTTTTATTTTATTGTGAACTACCTAGTCACAAAACTGATGTTACATTAAAGTAGAAAATTATGAATCCAGGCCAACAAGATACTAGTCAGGGTAACTGAAAGTTTTAGGCATTCTAGGTTAGTAACTGATGAAGCCATTGCAACCTTGTGAAAGGAACCCATTGTATACCTCAGCATAGGCACTTATACTACTCTAACGGTCACATTAAGAACTTGAACAGTAAAGAAACACAACAGGTGGAAACTTGGCATTTGCACACAGAGCCTTATGCTCCGCTGTGTGCAATGCCATTAGCAACCTTAAATGCACAGAGAACAAATCTCTCCAGTTCCCCATGGCCAGTGACCCTGTAACCAGCTTTTCATTTACTGGAAATAGGTGCCATTTTCCTGCTCCTCACTTACTAGATACCTCAGAGGACATGAGAGTCCCAAACCAAGTGGCCAGCTCTCCCCACTCTACTCCACGTAAGCACAGTTCAGTAGGTACTGGGTGCCAAAATCTCCACATGGTCAATACCTTAGACTCCTCAGGCTGTTGCTTTTTAAGGCAATGAACCTGTCCTCTTCTCTGCAGGTGGCAGCCTCTGATGCTGCTGCCAGCTGTGCCTGACAAAATGTGAGGAAAGGTTTGGCAGCTCTTTGTCCAGCTCCTCACAGATGCCAGGAGCACCAACATGTCCCTCCTTCAGCTCCTAGTTCATGAGCTGCCCCCCACCTCAAGTACCAGCTCCACAGCCAAAGGGAGCTGCGGGGACGGTGCCTGTAGGCAGAGACAGGAGCTGAGGGAAAAATGTGTCAGCACTTCTGGGGAGCCCACAAGATAAGCACTGGCCAGAGCCCACACTCTCCCTCATGCTCCAATAAGCAGTCCACTCCCACACTCAAACTCCTGCTGCTAGGGTAGGGCCCCATGCCTGTAATAGACCCATAATCTCTGTCTGAATTACTGAAGTCCTCAAAATTTGATTTAAGGACTCAAGCTACACAGAATACACAATGTAGTCTAATTCAAAACAGCAAACGACTAATGCCCCATACAGCAAATGACTTCAGCCCTTAACTGACAGCAAAATCGTAGCTTACAGTCTTGTTGTAGCTATATTGGTCCTAGGATATGACATGGCTTTTCAGATATTGGACTTAAATTGAAGCAAGGGAAGTTTAGGTTGGACATTAGGAAAAACTTCCTATCTGTCAAGGTGGTTAAACACCGGAATAAGTTGCCTAGTGAAGTTGTGGAATCTCCAACACTGGAAATACTTAAGAGACATGTCTCAGGGACAGATAAGATATCCCTGTGATAAGACATCTATCAGAGCTACTCAACACATGGCCTGGGGGCTGCACCAAGGTGCGGTTTGGGTTTATACAAGGCTTAACACGCAGCCCCATGGGTGGTAGTCAAAACAAAAAAAAAGCAGTCAATATAATGGCCTTCTGTTGATATGCGATTTAGTCGTTAAATCCCTGGACTGCCACTGCTCAGTCAAAATGCTGTCATATGGGTAGAAATTGGGTAAATATTGCGTTTTATTAACGTCAGCGGAACTGACTTAAATGCGACCTGCCTATGTGTTGTGTAGCCTTGCCTTAATCTTTGTATTCATGCCTGTCAGTGTGAAATAAGCTATTTGCATATATATTTGCATGCCTATGCAACCACACTTAAGTTGCGGCCCTTGGCATGTGCTGTGAGTATCATTGCGGCCCCCGGGGCTTCCAAAGTTGAGTAGCCCTGATCTAAATAGTGCTTGGTCCTGCCGTGAGGGTAGGGAACTAGACTTGATGACCTCTCTGAGTCCTCTCCAGTTCTAGTATTCTGTTATTTTGTATTTGTAGAAAAAAAATGCATTCTGGGTTTTCACCGTAAGATTGCTGCAATTACAACAACACACTAGTCCACTGTTTTTCAAAGTGGGCCACAGCCCCACTCAGAGAAAGCTGGTAAAGGGCCGCTCTGGGTTGTTTACTTAACAGTTCCGCAGCCACGGTGCCTTGTAGCTCCCATCAGCTGTGGTTCAGTGTTTGCAGTCAAGGGGAACTATGGGAAGCAGCGATCCGTGCCACACCGCTTCCCACGGCTTCCCTTGGCTGCAAACAGCAAACCACAACTAATGGGAGCCACAAGGATCCATGGCTGCAGAACCATTAAGTAAACAAACCAAAGCAGCCCATTAGCAGCTCTCTCAGAGTGGGGGCCGCGACCCACTTTGAGAAACACTGTACTAGCCAATGTGGCTTTTATATTGAAGAAGCAGTCACTAACTGCTAATTTCTGAAGTTATAGGTCACTGGCATGGTTCTAACTGCAAATGTTAAAACTGAAACGTTCTGTTTTATAGCTGAAATAAAAAACATGACTATGTAGCACTTTAAAGACTAACAAGATGGTTTATAAGGTGATGAGCTTTCGTGGGCCAGACCCATTTCCTCAGATCAAATAGTGGAAGAAAATTGGCACAACCATATATACCAAAGGATACAATTAAATAAAAAAGTGAACACATATAAAAAGGACAAATCAAATTTCAGAACAGAAGGGGGATGAGCGGGGGGTGAGGAATGAGGTAAATGTCTGTGAGCTAAAGATATTAGAAGTGACAGTTGGGGAAGCTATCTTTGTAATGGGTAAGATAATTAATGTCTTTGTTTAGACCAAGGCATAAAGTGTCAAATTTAAGCATGAATGATAGTTCAGAGGATTCTCTTTCAAGTCTGGTGTGAAAAGGTCTTTGAAGCACGATGCAGGTAATCAAGTCGTTGAGACAATGCCCTTTCTGGTTGAAGTGGCAAGAAACTGTTTTTTCTATGTGATCTTGTCTAATATCTGTTTTGTGGGCATTGATTCTTTGGCGAAGTGTCTGAGACGTTTGTCCAATGTACATAGCAGACGGATACTTTCGGCACACGATAGCATAAATTATTTCTGGATGAGCATAAATTATTGTTCTTGATCTTACAACTCAATTGGTTAGGTCCAATAATGGTATCAGCAGAGTGAATATGTGGACAAAGCTGGCAATGGGGTTTGTTGCAAGAGAAGGTAACAGGGTTGGTATTAGTGGGATGTCCTGTGGTTGTTGGTAAGAATCATCTTGAGGTTAGGTGGTGTCTATAGGAGACTTTGGAATGGAAATGCATCAACCATATGAAAAAAACTTATTCTGTTTTATAGGCACAGTACAAATCCTTTAGTTACTCTAACCAGCTTTGAAACCCTCACAATAAATCTCACAACAGAGTGAATGCTTTCCAAAGCATAACACTTACTTTCTGCCTGTTCCCTTTTAAGAGACAGACTGTTCAGCTCCTCTTCAACTCTTTCTAGTTCCAGTTTCAGAGCTTTTCGCAGTTCATCCATTTCAGTCTGATGTTTTTCTGATAGCTCTTCACGGATGTTTTTTAAACAGGTTTCTGTTTTCAGTTCCCAGTCTCCTCCAAGAGTCTAACAGAACAAGGTAGCTATATTAGTACAACAGTTAAGAATATTTTTTTTGATGTTTTTTATTTTAAATTGTATTTATTTGCTCTTTTAAATATTTTGTGATAGAAAAGAGAAGAGATCATAGCAGCTTCAGTTTGCAGTACAATATAATTGTATGCAGTATGGAACTCATACCTCCAGTGTCTGGGTATGTTTCTTTTCCATTTCCAATTCTATTTTCTTCCTCTCATCATCTGCAAAAAAAATTTGTGTTTACTAAAAAAATTAGTAAGAAACATGGTGGTCTAATGATATTTAAAAATATACAAAGGACCTATTTGGTTTTAGTCATCACATTCAAGGCATGAACAAGGGAGCATATAGCAATATGATGTACTAACATCTCTCTCAAAACTGTTCTATTATATCCCATAATTTTATAGGACTAAGTATCTAGTTTCAGTTGCAAATAAAACCACGGAAGCATACATTTAGTGTAGTTGGTTTGGCAACATCTGCCCAAGTCCACAGAAAGCATGACACCACTAGAGAGATGCAAGCTGCCCCATTCATTTCATAAGTTTTAATTCAAGTGCCTAGTAATAACAATGTTTGCAACTAAAATGGTAACTACCATATATGCTTGATAAGCTGAATTTCAAGCAATCAAGAGCTTATAAATTGGTCATAATTTTTACAAGCTTTTTTTTAAACTTGGGGCAGGCGGTTGGCTTATGAACAAATGGGCTTATGATTGATTATGTTATGGTAATTCATTGTACAAAGCCTGCAGGAAAGAAGAAGGAGACTCAGATTGCAGGTCTGCATAAATTGACTTTAGTGGCATCTTGTTTTAATCATTAGCTAAATTTTGCATTACAAATTTGATTTCAATCCTTGGTCCCACCAACTCTCCCTCTGAAATGTACATGGTGTCAAAACTTGCTAAGATTGATTTTTTTCTAGAAAATTTGAAGTAAATAAGATAAAGCACTCCAGATTCAACACATGATCAAATTTAAATGACATGCTCATCAAAGTCTTAAACTAAAAAAGAGAAATAGTCTACTGCATTCATCAAGTAGAGATCTAGTGCACAGTACTAACACTTAATTGATAAATTTAAAGAGCTATAAGCATTTTAAACAGCATTATCTAAATGGGTCAGTGGAAGTTACAAAGCGAATTTCTACTCATCAGTCGCTCTAGAGACAGGAGAAGGAGGCAGCAGCATCTAATGAGAAAAAGCACCTTGATTCTCTCAGTCTTCTACACAGAACACGGGGCAGCAGACACGGGGACGATTAAGAGGTTTTTCTGGAGCACTACCTACAGGTTACTTTTCCCCCCAAGCTCCCTCCCATTCCTCAGTACTTTGCACAGCATCTCCTTCAGTGTAAAGAAAGAGAGAAATTGGAGAAAGCAGAAGGCTTGAAGGGAGGGTATTGGATGATTTTCTCTTGCCTCCTTCACGCTGGCCACCTCAAGTCTCTAGGAAGCAAGACGACAGCAAACCTAAAGAGGACTGTCAACTTCCTTCCACCTCCACTTTCAGCAGTCTTAAAAATCAAAGGCTGAGGAATAATCTAAGGCGTGTTAAAGATGAGAATGTCCCAAGGCTTTGAGATGCTGCCCATTACCCTTATAAGCCTCACATGGCGGTGGGAGTCCTAGGAAGCAGGTAAGGCCAACAAAGGCACGTCTCACCAAAAGTATCCTAAGACTCTCAGGAGGTAGGTGTCACATATTATGCAAACTTCTTCTCAAGAAGAAAAATCAAAATTTCCCCCTCTCCCTGCCCAATGAAAATGCACTTGTCCTCAAACAAGTTTCCTGAAACATCTGTACCCAAAAAACAGTTGAGGATAATGCACATATTTCATCTGACACTCATGCACATATTTCATCTGACACTCAAATTCCACAGTGCACAAGTCTCCCTTCACCATGGCCATAAGCGACTGCTTCACTGAGTGAAGTCTGAAAAACCATAGAGACCAGCCTCCTCAATATTCTCTGATGGCACAGTGCTCAAAAAGAAAACATGCAGCAGGCCTAGATCCCTTGCACAAATAATGCCTCACCCTGTTCCTACTGAAGTCAATGCCAGTTTTCACTGATTTCAACAGGGACAGGGACAGGGTATAGCACAGATTAAAAAAAAAGAAGTTATGTTTACACTATGGGCAATATAATGGTCCAGCTATGGCTGTGTAGTAATGCTGGCACATCCATGCAGATACAACCCATAGAAATGAGGTATTTAGAAACACTATCTCCCAGACAGTAGCTGGTTGGATAGAATCTTCTTCAGTCAACCTTGCTACATCCCCATGGTACTCCGGGGGCGTGGGTTTTTCACATCCCTGAGTATCATAGCAATTCCAACCTAAATTTTAAGTGTAGACCAGGCCTGAGAAGCTCCCCATCAGAAACTGAACAACAATTAAAGGCTCAGTAGTTGCATGATCAGCCCACTAAATCACAAGTTCACAATACCTAGTTCTTGTTGATGTTTCAGTACAATTTCTTCTTTTTCCTTCAGATTTTGTTCTTTAATATGCTCCAACTCAAACTGATGTCGGCTCTGCAGAATTGCTACTTCCTGAGCACGCTTATCATTAAGCATCTCTCGTAAATCCACAAGGGCAGTTTCTTTCTCTTTTCTCAAGTTAGACTGCATCAACTCCAACTGAGATGTGTGCATATTAGTCAGACTTAGTCGTAAAGCTTCCAACTCAAGATTGTGCACTGTCTACAGGAAGGAAGAAAAAAACCATGATTTAAATAGACTATACCATTTTTCTGTACCATTTTCCATTATTGATACACCCCCATATTTATTGCTTTCTTTTTCATATGAAACATGTTCATGGGTCAAAGGGGAATAGCAGAAAAACAAGATTCTAGTTCTGATCTGCAAAAACTTTTTATTAATGAATACAGTCTTTACCATCTCTCCTTCCAGTAGCACACACTGTGTGATACTATATCCAAACTGTTAAGTTTATCCTCCTCCTAAGTTTATCTGCTGACAGAAAATGCCTGCCAGCTATCTGCCTCCATGCAGCATCTTCAGAAAACAATGAAACAAAAAGAAAACTGCAAAAATACACATTAATTATCGCCCAAAGCATTGCTCTAAGTTGCCACTTGCGTCCTTCAAGTCCATAACAGTGCATCATACAGCACAAAGCTGTCACTGGCTACCATCTGATAATATAGCAGAGTGAATAACTAATATCTGAAATGCTGAAATAGAAAATATGATGAAAATACACATTCTTTTCTGCTGCTCACCAAGGAGTTCTGAAGGATCTATCAGTGAGCACTAGCAGCAATTAAGACCTGGTCTACACTAGGAGTTGAGGTCGAGCTAAGCCACATTAGGTCAATTTTCTAAACAGTGAGTCCACACCATCAACCCCTTTCGGTTGACTTTAAGGGCAGTTAGAGTCCATTTCGGTACTCCTGCTTTTCACGAGGAGGAACGGTAAATTCACCCTTGATAGCCAACATTAGGGTACTGCAGACACAGTGCTGGGGAAACTGATGTTCTTGGCCACTGGGAGGTATCCCACAGTGAGTACACAGGAAAAGCCCTGGAATTTCACTTCCTGTGCAGCCAGCGTGGCGAGCAAACCTCCAAGCAGGCAGCGCGCCTCAGCAGCACGCCTGACCGTGAACCCCCAGGCTCATGAACGAGCAAAAGCAGGGAACGTGCAGGGAGATCCTGGATGTCACTGCTCTGCGGGGAGAGGAATCAGTTCAGGCGGAACGAGGAAGCAGCGAAAGAAGCGCCGATATCAATGCCGAGATTGCACAGGGCACGGTGGAATAAGGATACACCGGGGACGCCTGGTGGCGCTGCGTGAAAATCAAGGAGCTGAGACGGTCGTGCCAGAAGACAAAGGAGGCGAGCGGACGGTCTGACTCGTCACCACAAACATGCCACATTTATGAACAGCTCCATGGGATCCTAAGGCGGGAACTGACCAGTATCCCAACCCAGTCTGCGGATGGCTCCTAAGGAGCTCCTCAGGCAGCAGCGTGAAGAACAGTGTGAATGAGGACAAGGAGGAGACTGGTCGGCAGGTGAGCGGAGCATCCCGTCCCACCGACAGCTGGGAACTTTTAATAACTTTGAAGCTGATCCCCTTCTCCTAGGACATCTCCAAAAAATCACTCAGAGGTTCTCCTCCATCCTTCTCACAAGGTCTCTGGGGAGGCCGGCCCTATTCCACCCCTCATGGCAGGACACTTCTCCACACCAGGCCAGCAGTAAGTGCTCTGCTGTCACTGCAGCATGAGGTCCCGGTTATTGGCTGCATTCAATCAACATCTGCTCATCACTCTGTGCGATTCGAAGATGATTAATATCACATATGGCAAGCTAGATGACACAGGGAAAGCTGCTATTACAAGTGATACCGCAGCAGTAAAGCTCCGGTTGCTCACCCCCAATAAGGCCTGGTTTAAACCCCTGCTGTGCCGCCATGCCTGGCTTTCCTTCCCCTTCCTGTCTGCAAGCTCCTGTGGGAAGACAAAGTCACACTTTCCTGGCAAACGGGAGTGCGCCGAACACATGGTCATTACACAAGCCCTTGATCTGTCCTGCCACCATCTCCTCCCCACCAGGCTCGTTCCCCAGCCAGTTCCTTATCACATCTGCCACCAAACCAAGTCCAGCTGCTCCCCTAAGATCTCTGTAGTGTACCTGCTGTATAGTGGGTGCTTACAAGTGACCTTTTCCCATATTACATCCCCATTGTTTATGGCAGACCTTCCTTTATGTGCCACAATTAATCTCCGGTGAATCTGCCCCTCACTCTTCTTCCTAGCAGGTGCAGCAACAAAAATGGTGCATACCAATGGTACATACCAGCTACCTGGCTAGCACAAATCCAAAGATCAAAAAGTACCAGGATGACATGTTCAAGGAGCAAATGCAATCCACCCACTTGGACAAAAAGTGATCGAGTGGAGGAAAATGCTGCTGAGGGAGATGAGAGAAAACCATGAGGACAAGATAACATGCAAGGAAAGCAAAGTAAAAACACATACTCGCCTTAAACTTTGTAAAGTCGGGTGCCAGAAAATCAACCTTAAATAATCTGATCTTATCTCTCAATGTAGACAAGACCTAAGCTTTACAATGGAGTATAAAGTTTCCATTCTACATTTATACAAATATATATTGCATATATTAAGGGATTAGACACAAAATTAAGTGCATCCCATGTATATCTAGAATTAATAGTTATTTAGAGGAAAAAATGAATTTAGGCCTTTGATCTGCAAAATATCATCAATGCGACTACTCACATACTTATAATTATATATCTGTATAACAGCTAACAAGATCAGGTCCTCCGCCTATACATTCAAGTAACATTACAAATGTCTTATATAGAGTCAATGAATATGTAACAATTAAAGGTCCGTGGACTGTTTAGAGGAGTATTTCATATTTAAATTCAGAGTTTATCTAGTGTAGCCTACTTAATAACAAACAGTAAAACCCAGGAAATGGGATGTGATGCGATGACAAAAAAATAAATAAATAAATAAATACTTTCAGGACAGACTGGACTTCCCCAATCTGGGACTCGCTAATCCAGGAACATCTCTTGTCCAGCAGGGCCACCACTGTTGCTGGACTAAAGAGCCCTGGAGGCTAGGAGTGGGAGTGTGCCATGAAAACATAAGGGCTGGGGAACATAAAAACGGCCATACTGGGTCAGACCAACAGTCCATCCAGCCCAGGATCCTGTCTGCCGACAATGGCCAATGCCAGATGCCCCAGAGGGAGGGAACACAACAGGTAATCCTCACGTGATCTCTTCTCTTTCACCCACCTCCAGAGAAACAGAGGCTACAAACACCATTCCTACTCAGCCTGGCTAATAGATTCATGGAGGACAGGTCCATCAATGGCGATCTAGGTCTTTTTTTTTAACCCTGTTGAAGTCCTAGCCTTCACCGTATCCTCTGGCAAGGAGTTGCACATGTTGACTGTGTGCTGAGTGAAGAAAAACTTCCTTTTGTTTGGTTTAAACCTGCTGCCTATTAATTTCTTGGTGACCCCTAGTTTTCATATTGTGGGAATAAGTAAATAACTTTTCCTTATTCACTTTTTCCATACTAGTCATGTGCAAAGAACTCTAGCAGATTAATAAGGCAGGATTTCCCTTTACAGAAACCATGTTCACTTCCCCCAACAGATTACTTTCATCTATGTGGCTGGCAATTCTGTTCTTTAAAATATTTCAACCAATTTGCCTGGTACTGACATTAGACTTACCAGTCTGTAATTGCCAGGATCGCCTCTAGAGCCCTTTTTAAACATTGGCGTCATGTTAGCTATCTTCCAGTCATTGGATACAGAAGCTGATTTAAAGGATCGGTTACAAACCACAGTTAATAGTTCTGCAATTTCTCATTTGAGCTCTTTCAGATCTCTTGGGTGAATGCCATCTGGTCCCATGGACTTGTTACTGTTCAGTTTAGCAATTTGTTCCAAAACCTCCTCTAATGACACCTCAACCTGAGACAATTCCTCAGATTTGTCACCGAAAAAGAACGGCTCAGGTTTGGGAATCTTGACGCAAAGAATTCATTTAGCTTCTCCATTATGACTTTATCATCTTGGAGTGCTCCTTTACCATCTCAATCTTCCAAAGGCGCCACTGGTTGTTTAGCCGGCTTCCTGCTTCTGATGTGCTCAAAGAACATTTCACTATTACTTTCAGTTTTTGGCTAGCTGTTCTTCAAATTCCTTTTTGGCCTTTCTTTTTGTATTTTTACACTTAATTTGACCAAGTTTATGCTCCTATTTTCCTCATGAGGATTTGACTTCAGGCAGCAGCAGGACTGGCAGTGACCAAGTGGCACTAGCAGTGGCAGGGCGGCCTGGCAAAGAAACCCCAGGGAACTCCCAGCAGCAGCGGGCAGGCATCAGGGCAGGAAGGCCCTGCCTGGCCAGCAGCAGGGTGGAGAGTCCCAGTCTTAGGAGCCCTAAAGAGGGGCAGCCATCAGGGGAGCAATAACCTCCCCTGGTCTAGCAAATACCCTGGTCTGGGACCAGTCAGGTCCTGACCATGCCAGACCAGGAAGGTCTAACCTGAAGTAAAGTTATATATGAATTACCTTCGTGCATTTGGTAAGACCTGGCTGAAATAAGATTAAGTTTGAGTTTGATTTTTTGCCACACTTATCAATTCTCAATACTACAATACATACAACTCCTATTTGGAAACTAAAGAGGTTATTTTGAGGAGTCCAGTGACACTGGGTAAAACACTACCTTACACTAGAATTATACACAAACCTCAAGTGCAAAAAATGCAGATCTATTGATTAGTACAAGAAAAATACGTATTAACCTCGTACTCTTTGCCTCCCTCTCTTCATTACCAGAAGTTACCGCATATCCTTATTTCTCTTTGTCAATATAATCAAACTTTTTCCCTTCATAAATGTTTTAAATGTTGGCAGTTTTCTAAAGAATAGCTAACTGGTAAGGGACATGACAGACTGAGAACATTGGAGTCCCTTCCATAAGAGATATTTGCTGTCCTCTTAACATAACACTTCCTAATGTTTCCTCAAATGTAATTTTTAAACCTAGCACAAGTCTTTCGTCCAAAATAGAGCTTATCATTTATATAGCAGCCCAGTGTCTGAGAGTCTGTAACGCCGAAATGCTGGCTGTTCCCTCTGGGCAGCGCTGTTGCCTGAAACGCTGGCTGTTCCCTCTGGACGGCCCGTGCTGCATGGGGAGTGCAGGGCCCAAACGGTCGCTTGCTCCCCCACGGCAGCCCAGCTGAGCGGCGCAGAAGTCAGCCGAGCGCCACGGTGGGAGGCGAAGGGGAGCGAGGCGGTGACATGCGGCGTGACAGCGGCTCCAGGCCCCGCCCCCTTGAATGTCACCGCCCACTCCCCTTCGCCTTCCGCCATGGCGCTCGGCTGACTTCTGCACTGCTCAGCCAAGCCGCCGCGTGGGAGCAAGCGGCACAAGCAACCGTTTGGGCTCCACACCCCACATGCAGCACGGGGAGCGCGTAGCCCAAATGGCCATTTGGGCTCCACAGTCCCCCGAGAGGCAGGAGGGGGGGGAGAAGTGAAAGAGACAGAGAGAGAGAGGCAGAGGATTGCTGGGAGAGAAGGGGGAGGAGGCAGGAGGCAGGAGGAGGAGGAGGAGGAGGAGGAGATGGAGAGAGAGAGACCGGAGGCTCAGGAGAGACGACCAACGTGGAGGAAAGACCTGAAAATCCCATCTTATGACTAGCTAATTGGCTAGTTTTGTTAGAAAAGAGGCTCTTCTTTGCAAGCAAATTAACTATAAATTTGACAGCTAGGAAAAATTATTTTCCTAAATAATTGCGTTGCTTACACACTGTACCTGTGACTGGAGCTGAGCATGCTGCATCTCTGTTTTATATGTAAGTTCCATTTGTTGCTGAAGTTCATCCAATAGTTGCTGCTGTTCCTTAATTAGTTCAACCCGTAGCTCCTTCATTTCTTCTTCATGTTTAAAAATTAGTTCCGCAATTTCACGATCATGTTCTCGTTCGTGAACCTCGAGAGAACAGCACAGCATTTTTACTAAGTTATGGACATTTTACACTTTTGTTCTCCAGCATTAACAAGCCATTAGGACACTAGTCTCCAAGTGAATAAAGTTATCTTTACTCTTGCAAAAAAACACCCACACCCACACACACACACACACACACTCACACCCACACACACGTACGTGTTTAATTTCCGGCTCTGAAGAAATCATTTCATTTTCACAGAAGACAACTAGATAGTCAGCAAAAGCTTGTGACCAAAAAAATACCTTTTTAATTAATCCTATCTGTTCTTTTCTTTCCTCCTCCAACTTCTGCTGTTTTTCCACATTCTCTTTTATTTCTACATTCAGCTCTTCTATCTGAAAAAAGGGATCACTTTTTTTGGCACTTACTATTCACCAAGCATTCAGAAACACAAATCCTAGCATTGTTATCAGAGCTACCTACCTCTTTCTGGTGTACCAGATTCATTTTAGTTATTTCAGAAAGATGCTGTGATGCCATTTTGCTAATTTCCTCTTCATAATATCTCATCTCAGACTGTACCTCCTGCATGGCTTGTGCAGACTTCTGCACAGTCTCCTGAAGACGATTCTCCAATTCGACCTGAAGCGTCTTCAAATAAGCAACTTCTTCAGTCAGTTTATTTTCTTTCTGGATGTATTCCATTTTTTTGGCCTGTATTTCAAAGTTAAGTTTCTGAAGTTCCAAGTTCCTGGATTTCAATTTCTCCTCAAACTCCAATCTTTCGCACTCTAGCACTTCATCAAAGTTTTTCTTTTTCATATTAAGATCATATATGTTTCTTTCAAGATTATCTTCCAGAGCTTTTTCTGCTTTTATTAGATTCTGTTCTGCTGCACACAATCTTTCTTGTAAGGTTATATTCTCCTTAAGTGTGAGTGCTAAGCTTTCTTCTTTATTACTGATTTCAACTTTGAGAGCTTTCTGTTCTTTCAGTAATGCCTCTTCTAACACGGTTTTTTGACCAAGAAGTTCAGCTATAGTCTGGCTTTTGACCTTCTGAGCATCAAGCTGGGCTTGCATTTGATCCCTTTGGCTTTGTAAAGCAGCTAGTTGACGTCCAAAAAGGGACTGTACTTCATTTGTAACTGAATCAGAGGCAGTTTTCTGTTCTTGAACTTCCTTCACTAATTGCTCCTGAGCCCTCAATTGCATCATCAATGTTTTTCTTTCCTGCTCCAGGTCTTTGATCATCTCCTGCCAAGTATGTGACTTTGAAGCCTGTATTCCAAGACCTAGTTCTTCAATACAAACTGTCAGATCTCGGTCTTCACCCTGCTTTTCCAGAAAGTTTATTTTATTTTCAAGCTCTTTCTCCTTCTGTACTTTTTGATCAAGTTCTTCTTCACAACGAATCCGTGCATCTCGCTCCTTGTTCAGTTCTAAATGTGTCGTGGACAGTTCAGCTGTTGCTTTTTCCCATTTTTCAAGAGCTTCTTGGGTCTCCTGATAAGATTTGTTAAGTGCTGATTGATGTTCACTGAGCTGCTTTATTAGCTCAACACATCTCTCCATCAAACCGGCTTTCTCTTGATCCCTTACCTCCTCACTGTCACTTATTTCCTTTCGCAGCAAGAAACCACCTGACAAACATGAAGCAAAAATCTCAGCTTCTAGCTCTATTTCATCAGAAGTCCCTTGATGTACACTATTAAGACACGTTTGTTCACCAGGGCCAAACATCAACTTATCTGTTGTAGAGTCCAAGTTAGGTTTTAAAAAGATGTTGCTATTTAGCACAAATCTATCAAGCCTGCCCTCTTCAGTGTCAAGAAGTTCTGAGTTGTCTGACATGCAGGACTGTTCCTGTTTCTCAGTGGAGACAAGATATTTAGCTAACATGTCTACATCTTCAATCAAAGATCCAAGTTCTACCATATTTTCTTCAGAAATGTTATCAGCTTCATAACTTTTATGGTCCTCCTTCACTTGGATCTTTATATTTTTCTGTGTGTTTTCTAGTTCACTTTTAAGAGAGTCCACTCGCAAGCCATGTTGGTACTCTAGTTCTTCACGAACTAACTGTATTTCACCTTCATGCTGGCATAATTTACTCTGCATCTTTTCAAGCTCTGCTTTTTGTGATTCTGACACCTCCTGTAACAATTTTTCCTCCTGCTCTAACCTTTTTAACTTTATATTGTAGATAGTTATTTCTTCCTCATGCTTATGCTTCAAATCTTTGTTGTATTTTGCCTCAAGAAGCAGCTTTTCACTCAATTCCTGGATGAAGGAGTTGAGCTTTTGGATTTCATCATTCAAATGCTCTTTTTCTTGTTTAGTTTCCTGTGCTTCCTTAGCCTGTTTTTCTGCATTAGTAAACTGTAATTTGAGGTCTTCTATCAAAGCCCTATTCTTCAGCTCAGTTTCAGATCTTTCTCTCTGAAAATCCTCCATTTGCTTTTTAAGTTGCTTGCACAAGTTGTCTCTATTAATTTCTGACTCATGCAGTTTACTGTTTAAATCAATAATTATTGCATTTAAATTCTGAAAATCTTTATTAGAATTCAAAGCAGAGAGTTCTGTTTTTATATGTTGAAGTTCATTCTTGTATTTTTTATTCATCTCTTCTTCACAAGTCTCCTTAACTCTTACTATCTCTTTTCTGTAACAGTCTTCCAACTCAGTCCTCAAGTCTTGTAACCGTTTACAAATATCATTTTCATGATTTGCTTTCAATTCTTCAATATGTTCCTGTTCTTTCACCCTAGATCTACCAATTTCGTCTTTTAACTCCCTTATCTCTGTGTCCCGGAGAGAAAGTGTGTGTCGTACAAGAGATAAATTAGACCTTTCTGATGTAATTAAATCTTGAAGATCCTTGATGGTTTCTTCCTTTTCTCCTATATTGTTGTACATCTGTTGCATTGTACTACTCAGATTCTCTTCCATTTGTGAAAGCAGAATTTCTTTATCTTTGGCATTCTTAAAAATAAAAAGTTACACATGAACCGAACACCCAAATACTTCCATTTCTCTGAAATTTCCAGTTTAATATCTCCCTACGAAATAAAAAATTCCCTTCAGTGGAAGGCTTGCAGACCTGTCCATGCCAAGGAGAAAGCTTGCCCTTAAGAATGGGATGACTTACCCAGTGACTTATTTAGAATGTGTTTAAAGGAAATATCTCCACTTCTACACTCTTTTCTAACATCACAATTCTGTAGCATTAGGATGAATGCATATTGGCGACTGTGGTTCAACATTACTCTTTTAAAAACGGGTTTTTTATATTTTTTCTTTAGGACGTCACTGTAGGCAAGTGTTAACATTGCACAGGTGTTTTATCTGTGCATCATATCAGGTTTAGGTTTCTTTTAAGTATAACCTTAGCTGAATGTCTTAGTTTACAATGCTTGTTATGGAGATACTTAAAATACTCTTGCAATTGCCTCCTGACCCCAAATCACTGATGTGTATTCTCTGCTTTAAATCCAGTGTAAGGGTTTTTATTCAGGAATTCCCTTGTATTTTACATTAACCATAAGAACATAAGAACGGCCGTACTGGGTCAGACCAAAGGTCCTTCTAGCCTAGTATCCTGTCTACCGACAGTGGCCAGCACCAGGTACCCCAGAGAGGGTGGACCGAAGACAATGATCGAGCGATTTGTCTCCTGCCATCTCTCTCCAGCCTCTGACAAACAGAGGCCAAGGACACCATTTTATCCCCTGGCTAATAGCCTTTTATGGACCTAACCTCCATGATATTATCTAGCTTCTCTTTAAACTCTGTTATAGTCCTAGCCTTCACAGCCTCCTCTGGCAAGGAGTTCCACAGGTTGACTACACACTGTGTAAAGAAGAACTTAATTTTATTAGATTTAAACCTGCAACCCATTAACTTCATTTGGTGTCCTCTAGTTCTTCTATTATGGGAACTAATAAATAACTTTTCTTTATCCGCCCTCTCCACACCACTCATGATTTTATAGACCTCTATCATATCCTCCCTCAGTCTCCTCTTTTCTAAACTGAAAAGTCCCAGTTGCTTTAACCTATCCTCATATGGGACCCGTTCCAAACCCCTAATCATTTTAGTTGCCCTTTTCTGAACCCTTTCCAAGGTCAAAATATCTTTTTTGAGGTGAGGAGACCACATCTGCACACAGTATTCAAGATGTGGGCGTACCATAGTTTTATACAGGGGCAGTAAGATATTCTGTGTCTTATTTTCTATCCCTTTCCTAATAATTCCTAGCAACCTATTTGCCTTTTTGCCCGCCGCTGCACACTGCGTGGAAGTTTTCAGAGAACTGTCCATGATAACTCCAAGATCCCTTTCCTGATTTGTCGTAGCCAAATTAGCCCCCATCATACTGTACATAGAGTTGGGGTTATTTTTCCCAATGTGCATTACTTTACACTTATCCACATTAAATTTCATTTGCCATTTTGCTGCCCAATCACTGAGTTTGGTGAGATCTTCTTGGAGTCCCTCACAGTCTGCTTCTGTCTTGACTATCCTGAACAGTTTGGTATCATCCGCAAACTTTACTACCTCACTAATGAACACTAAACAAGAAATGTAAAAGGACTGCTACTCATGACACTTTTAATCACTTGAACGCAGATAAGTTTTTTAAAAAACTTTTAGAGCCAAATGCACGAACATATATTAGCTGCTCTGCCTTTGTCTGAACGAGCGTCAAGCACTAAGGATGCTAAGGACTAGTCGACTATCCGATAAGCATTTGCTTATCCGATAGTCTGTTGACTAGTGATTCCCTCTCCCCACCCCTTGCTGCCTCTATGAGATAGAAGCAGCAAAGTGGGGGAAGGTTGTACTTCAAAGCAGCAGCACTGCACAGCTGAGCTGGGGATCAGCTGTGCAGCAGCTGCCCCTTTGAACCACCACCTTGGCATTTCAAAGATGCAGCACCCTGGAGCCCAGGGTCAGCTGGGGACTCCCCAGAACCTGCAGTCAGATGATAGGTTTTTTGTTTGGTTGGTTTTTTTAAAACTTTTAGAGCCAAATGCAGCAACTTTTTTAGCTGCTCTGCCTTAAGTCCCCAGCTGACCCCAGGCTTCACTGCACTGCCCCTTTGAAACACAGAAGCAGCGTTTTAAAGGGACAGCCACTGCACAGCTGACCAATAGAAGCTTTCACTTATTCTTATGTCCAGACCTAACATGATTCCAGATACCCTAAAAGTGTTCATAAGAACAAAACTTGTGCAAATCTTGAAACATTTTTGTGTAACTATAGAATAATCGTCCTACACTTATAAAGCACCTTTCATCCCGATGTATCAAAACCATCTCTAACAGCTCTACACAAAGGAACATTTCTACAACCATTGAAACAGTTTCGGGCTAAAGCACCTCTACATTATACACCTGTGTAGGTGTAGTAATGAAACCATTACCTACAAATGAAGTTGCAGGGTAAATTTAGACAAAGAATGTAATGACCAGGGCTTGACAAACGGCGGCGAAAGTCGCTCGCCGGCCCCGCACTGCGCATGCCCAAGAGCTGCATTGTGCATGCGCGCACTGCAAATGAACGGGGCGCCCAGCTGAAATCTACTCGCCATGGGCATGAGTAGATTCAATAGGTTGTCGAGCCCTGGTAATGACCAATATTGAAATTAGCTAGGAGGTAATTATTAGCTTTTAGAAAGATTGTTACCAATCCTTAATAATAAAGACCTAGATTTCATGTCTCATCTTAAGTCAATACCTCCAAAAGAACAGTTATCCTCCTCTAACATGATGCTAAGCAACATGAATATTAATAAATGCACAATCCAAGTGTTTACTGATGGGCTTTCTTCCAAAAACTTTTAAAAGCAACACAGCAAAACCCAGCTTGGGTTGCATGATTGCACTACAAGACTATATTCTAACACAAAGTAAACTGTGACTGGCATATTTAACAGAGTTTTTACCTTTTGAGAAGACTCCAATTGAAGTTCCAGGTCATGTGCTTTTTGACGCATTATTTGTAATTGAGAACTTTGTTCCTTGAGTTTGTTCTGAAATACAGTCATCTGCTCCTGGGCTTGAGACAATTCACTTTTTCCAGGAATTCTACTCTTCAGAAGCTCATTAGCCTATATACAATTTTTTTTAATAAAAAAGGTAAAAGAATGCATTTACCTGTGTAGTAACAGGAGTTCTTGAAGTTTTGTCCAAATGCACATTCCACTTGAAGTGCGCATGCACCCCATGGCTAAAAATCAGAAAGTTTGTGTGTGTCTGTGTGCGCGTACTAGTCTATTCAGCCTATGCATGCACACCTGACCTTCCTCATGCTCTGTTCTGAGAGTATGCAGGGTTGTGTGACATGAACTGCTACTCCTGTTCTTTCTCTACTTCAGAGCCCACAATAGCACAGGAGGACTAGAAAGTGGAGAGAAAGACAGGCGAGTCATGGAATACACATGGACAACATCACAAAGAACTGCAGTTACTATACAGTGACTTCATGCTTGTCCATTTGCTCATACCACTCTAAGTGACTCCAAAAAAGTACCTTAAGTACAATGGTGTGCTCCTACCTATCACTGATTGAAGACCAGCAGTACTAAAAGAGGCATCTGCCCTAGAAATATTTAACAATGAATAATGTCTAAAAGAACTGTGAATAGGCAGCCTCCCAAACATCCCAAATGGAATTTTTCCTCAGAGCAGCCACGTCTGGTTGAAGGAGCCCTAAGATTAGTTGGTGGGACTAGCTTAATTATGTCAGACAGTAATGCAAAGACAGGAGACCGTTTTGGGGTCAGGGGCTGCTAACCCACAGAAAAATCAGTCAGGGGCCACACACAAGTAAGAAGCCAAGTGAGAAGCCCCTGACTGAGAATGAGAAAGACACTCCTCACAGTCTCTTTGCACACCCTGGGGAGAGGGGGGGCAGGGCGCCTAGGCTAATAGATTGTACTGCTCCAACCCTGCAGGTAGGTGGCAGGGGGGCTGGAGTGCCACTGGGGCTCCCCAATGCTGAGCCCCAGGGACTGAATGCAAGCAAGCCAGCCAGGGGCCACATCCGGCCCCCGGGCCTGAGGTTCCCCATCCCTGCAATAATGGATTGTGGAGCTGGAGAATGGAGAACACTTCTTACTCGCTGCAAACAAAACAAATAGCTTCAGGGAATATCTACAGGACTGGTTCTTGGGAGATAAAAGACTAAAGCCAAAATAAGCTACTCAACTTCAGCTACATCAATTGTTTAGCTTAAGGCACAATAGCATATTTTGGCTTTTGGTAATGTCTGTACAGCAGGAAGTCCAAGGAAGAGCACTCTTCTTCCAACTTCCCTTATTCATAAAATGAAGGTTACAGGAATACGAGTAAGAAGTCCTCCAGCTCAACATTATGTCAAAATAACTGCTTGTGGTGTAACATCAGTTATTCCAAAATAACACTGCTATGTACATGTACCCAGAATCCGAGAGACATAGGATAGAGCTCAGTTCCGCTTATCTAGTCAATTGCCCTACAAGCATCCTTTACATGCTTTCACCTTTATTTCTCTGTGCTGTATCTATGCACTTCCAATGCTGTGTTACAGTTGACAAATAAACCCTACTGATTTGAAAAAACTGTTTGAGTGTCACTGTAAACACTGAATGAAGTGCATTTGCTCCTTTACAAACATATAAGTCTCTAGTAGGAGAGTCTCACAGTTGGACTCATGAAACCGAGCTCACAATATGAAGCAGTAATGCTGAAGCCCAAGAGGTTCAGTCTAAGAAGGAAGCAGTGCGGCGCTGTGGCCTCCCCTGAAAGAAGAGCAAGGAATCTGGAACTCTGAAGGGATTTCTCCAAGAAACCTTTTAAAAACTAGGTATAGCATTGACCTGGTCAATCAGGGGCACCCAGTTATATAGTTTTATAGTACTTCCCATGTATGCAGTTCAAACTGCTTTCTTCAAGAAATATGGTAAAAGTTCCCCCTATTTTAATGGGAAAAACTAAAGCACAAAAATGTGAAGTGATTTCCTGAAGGTTTCACCTCGCATCAATGATAGAGCAATGAAAGCAACCAGAATTTCTGCCTCTTCATACAGTTCCCCAGTAAGAGGAGTGTAAGAGGAGCGTACTTCATGTCCACTGCAATAAACTGCACTACAAAAAAACTGATCCATTATTTCAGGTTTAGTTTGTAGGCCTGAAAAAAGCACATTTAACCCAAATGTTAAAGAGAAGAAAGGGGAAGAGGCAATTCATATAATTTGCTGTGGTCAAGATTTGCTATTTTTCCCGTTTATGTTATGAGCCTCATATTTTGGTAACTGTCTTAAAAAGCCAACACACACCTCTTGTAACTGAAGCTGTAAACCATGAATCTGATCAGCTAGAAGTGATGCCTCTTTCTGAATGTCATCCCGATTTTGCCTTGCCTGCTGAAGGTTACTTGTCAGTTGAGCTATTATCTCATTCCGTTCCTGGATAGCCATCTCCAGCTCCTGCAGGAGATATTAATGCATCTTTAAAACCAGACATCCTTCAGCACTTCAGAGGCATGTCAATCTTAATTAAAACCAAAAGAACTGGCACTTTGCACTGTACTTAAGGCATCAGTAAATTTGCTCTACAGAAGTAGTCCTATTTCTGTGAAAAGCATTTTGGGTTTTTTTGTGGGTTTTTTTTTTAGTTTTTCTTCCACTTATTTCAAAGTGTAAAGGAAGCCAATTTATTTAGGACATGACATTTAGTAAGTGCAAACATTTTAATAAGTAAAGGCAGAAAAACGTATAGAATTTCTACAGTACGAAACTGAACCTTCAGGATTCCCATCATGTTGAATGGAGCAGAGATATTCGCTTCTTCACATCCAAGTGAGAAAAAGCTAATAATTTGGGGTATATTAATCCTATTTTATATTAATCTCAAAATCTTAAAGCACTTCTCCATGATAGGAAACCAAGAAGTTTCCTACTTCTAAATGGAAAAAGTCAGTCTGCAGGTAAGGAGGAAGCAGTTTTTAAACCCACCCACTTCAAAAGAATTACGATTTCTTTCACTAGCAGATATATATGTTCACTACTAAAATTAAAATAAAGGAGTATATTTTGGAAGTTTTGTAGATTTCCTTTAATTTGGTACAGTTTTAGGTGTGCATTGTTTGGAAAGGAATCCCAAGAGTATTCTCTTGCCACTTTGGATACTTAATAAGCCTCAATTTTATGAAGGTCTCAGAACACATAAAACCTTAAAAATGAAGGCTTTGAAAAACTAGATTGGTTTTGATACTCGAGAGGTCTGTCTTTTTCTTATAGTATGGCAACTCTTCATAGCTTGCCATGCCAATAAAAAGTCAATGAATTTTTCTATTACTGTACTGGAGTAACACCTAGGTGCCAAGTCATGGATATAGTTTTCAGATAACCTTACACAAATTATATTTTTACTGATAGTTACCTCTCTATCATCAATGATATTTCATAGCATAGCAGATTTGCTGCTAGTCTGTAATACTTTATGAAGACTATATATTCCATTTGTCCAATTGTTGTAATGATACATATTCTATACCTATAATGAGTTAATTCAATTGCGAGATTGTCAGCAAAAGTACCCAGGAAAGATTGATCCTGATAGACACTTTGCAAACATTTTATGACACTGCTTCATCCACTTTGATTCCCTGGCTCCTAACCCTTCTGAGAAACTCAAAATTGTTTTGGCAACTGTTCGAAGCATGTGAGCTGAGACAACAAAGAAACCTGAACACCATCCCTCAAAAGAAGGAAAAGAAAAAAAAAGACAAAAGTCAACTCAGATTCCACAGATTGGGTATTGTGGATGAGATAGACCTAGCTAGGGTTCTAGAGAAGACAGACATGTATGTAGAACTTTCATTGTTTTAAAAATCCTCCTCTTTTATGTTAACCTTAGAAGAAAAGTAATTGATAGTTTATTTTAAGAAGGCATTTGGGTTCACTGTATTCATCGCTAGTCAAACTCCCAAAAGAAAGAACTATAATATCAAATCCAGACAGACCAGTTGGCCAAGCATGGCTGATAGACTGGTCATTGGCTGCAGTGTCCTGTGAAAATCTCAAGAGTCCACCCAAAATAAGCCAAGTCATGAGACCTAAACACATGTGCAAATGCACTCAGACACCAGAGAAAAGGTCAGAGGTGCTGCTAGCCCTGTAACCATGACATGTATTATTTTGCTGTGGTATTTCATGAAATTACGCTGTTAACCATAACTCTGCCGGTAACATCTTCAATAAATATCATTGGCACACAAGTTACTTTATTTTAGTAATAGTACCTGAATATGCGTAGTCCCACTATGCTGGGCAAGTTGTTCCAATAAGTCACCCGCCTCTTTAGTGAGTCCTTCAGTTGCTTCCCCTTTATCCAGAAGTGTTCTTTCCTGCTCCACAATTCTAGTCTGACACATCTGGACATCAAGCTGATCATATTCCTTAATAAAATACAGATCATCTTTCTTCATAAAAGAAAAGGAATGGTATTTGGTAGTGTGAGTTTTTACTTTAAATTTATGGAAAAATTATATTCCTAGCTGCCATAATCACTCTAATTCATTACTTCACCAATCTAGGTTTTTACTTTAAATTTATGGAAAAATTATATTCCTAGCTGCCATAATCACTCTTCTAATTCATTACTTCACCAATCTAATCTCTCTAATTTTCAATTAGTCATTCAAAAAATAATTTCGGATCTGCAAGATATTCGTTGTAGAGTTCGGCAATATCAACGCCCTTAGGAAGGCCTTAGAATAATCAATCTCGTTCACTGGAATTCTCAGGCAAGAGAAAAGTTTCTGTATATTGCTTCATTTGAAAGAGGAATATTATTTATATTCTTAAATGTCTTTTATATTAAAACTTCGATCCAATGAGCAACTTTCAGACAATTGTTGCTTCCAACCGTCAACTTGATTTATTAACCATACAATGCAACTGAATCTAAAACTGCAAGAAAATTGCATGATTGAATCATTTTAATTGTGTCTAAAGAAATATTCAATAAGTATCTCATTTATAGCACTTTAATAATCTTGTAGTCATAACGCTCCTCTCTCATGAGAACATTCAAAAACATTTGTTCACCGCTTACTTAAAAAGCGCGATCAACCACCAAGTCTGGGTTAGTGTGTTGAATATCAGCCTAACAAAAATACAAGAGATACCACAAAGTCAGTCACGTATGTTTTTAAAATACATAAATAACGTTTTTGATGAGCCTTCATGAAAATACTCACTAAACATGAAAGCCTGAAGTCAAACAGATTAGCGGGTCCTCAAAGTTATATAACTTAATAGATTTTCCACTGCTGAGTATTCAGACAGATAATAGTTTCGTTCAACATACCCAACACATTCAGATGCAAACACATATGATGAAATAATGTGGAGGTTTTAAATTCTGTTGAAAATTCAAGCTAAAAAAATGTTATAACTGATAATTAAGAGAGAAAGCTTTGTTTTATCCCATCATGGTTTGCAAACTTACCAATAGTCAGTAAAATGAGATATCAAGTAAGGTAAAGAATTTAACACACACACAAACACACACACCAACCAAAAGCCTTAAGATAAATTTAAGGAAATATAAATATTCTCATGTACACATTAAACAAAACTTTTCTGATATACACATTATACATTTATGTATCTACATACACACAATAGATACCTAAATATTTTCTGATATACTCATTGAACAGAGCTGTATGTTTTATAGATTATCAAAACAGACAGCTCTGACATCATATCCACAATTAAGCTCACATGGACCACCACAGTACTGTTTAGAAAAGATCAGAGCCATCTCTTCTTGTGACCCTATACAAACTCACTTCCCAGCTTACACCACCTCCCTAGAGCACCAACAGAATTTATGCCCTCCCCAGGGGCATCATATTCAATTCCTTTGTCTTAAAATTCTTGAAGGGGTGACCAGCTCCATAGCGTAACTGCCTTAAGCTCACATGGACCACCACAGTACTGTTTAGAAAAGATCAGAGCCATCTCTTCTTGTGACCCTATACAAACTCACTTCCCAGCTTACACCACCTCCCTAGAGCACCAACAGAATTTATGCCCTCCCCAGGGGCATCATATTCAATTCCTTTGTCTTAAAATTCTTGAAGGGGTGACCAGCTCCATAGCGTAACTGCCTCAAAGCTGCAGGGGCTGTATCACTAAGGCCGTGGTCCCCAACAGGGTGCCCGTGGGCACCATGGCGCCCGCGGGGGCATTTGCATGCGCCCGCCAGGTGCTCGGGGCTGGCCTCG